TCTGATCTCTCTGCAGACAGGCAGTATTGTGTGCAAATACAGCGCAAGCTACTAACAGCAGAGTACATTTCTCATCTGCATTTCCTGACAGTAAAAAGAAGTGACTTACTGAGACAATTAGGGCGGGATGGAGTAATTCAGTGTGACTGAATGCCACATTGCAGAGATCACTTGTTAATAACAGGGAGGTAGGATAGAGAAAAGAAAGGATCTGAGGAGTATTTCCCCACAAGTGAAAAAACTGACCCTTTCCCCTCATGAGTGACTCAAGGCCAGCTGTTCAGGCAGTGTCTCCAAGTGTCTATACATTGATCCTCCTCGCCCTCTTTATCAGCAAAGGCACAAGGAAGGAGAACCACCTTTCAGTCCTTGTCCTTCACATGCTCAGTGGTTGGCAGGAGACGAGGGTTCAGTTCCTTGTTCTCTCTCTTTTCTGTAAGGATCTTGAGAAGGTATCTCCTCTTAAAGAGTTGCCTGTCAAACAAGAGGAAGGCAAACAGTGACTGCTCTCTACCTCCATTCTTCCTTTCTCTGTATTCTTTAGGATTACCAAAGTGTTTTATTGTCCATGATGCCAGCACAGTCTGGACATCTCACCTGAGAAGCGGTGACCGGAGAAGAGATGGAGAGGCCAGTGGTCAGGGCTCAGCTCTCAGACAAGTGCTCTAATCGTTAGGCACCTTCTCAGGCTTGTCCTTCTGGCTCCTCAGCACTTGTATTTTTGGCTGCCCCATGGCTTATAGTGCATACATGGAACTCGGATGCAGTCCTGAAGCCTGAATGCTCTGGGGTTACAGCTTTTAGGGTGATGGAGAGATCAGATTTGTGTCCCTGTCCCTCCTGCTTCCTGCAGGAATAGTTCGCACACAAAGGCCACCCCCTCTCCACGTTCACCTATGGATGAAATCCTTGCACTGGGGTGTGTTTGAGGGTGGTCAGACCAGCCCAGGTCCTGCTGGAGGGAGGTGGGGAACCTTTTGTGCAGGGGACACTTGAAGAAAGAAATTAACTTCTGGGCCACGGGTGAGCTTTTCGGTCAGGCAGAGACACAGGTGAGGCTCTGCACCCGCTCAGGAAGGTTTTGTGAGTCACTATTTTGGACTTGGGTTCTTGCAGAATCTCTAAGTCTGGTTACAGACACATCAGTGTGAATCACAGCTTTTGTTTTCCTTTGAGAGGTGTTCTTCATCCTGTATGAGGAGATGAGCTTGCAAGTATAACAACGAACTCCTTGAAAGCCATGAAGAGAGAAATCTAAATGAAAATAGACACCCAAATGATACAATCTGGTTGGTAAAAAATATCATGGCTGTCAAAACTGTCCTCCTGCACCCTGCCTGCATCCTGCAGGCCTGGCTCATACCTGCCTGCTACTGCCATGGGTGAAACAGAAGGGCACTGGGTCGAGAATTAGCAAGGGAGGAGCACAGGGGCAGTATCCAGTGGCGAAAATTGAAAGGGGGATTAAAAAGAAAGTTCTCAACATCTCCCTGAAACTAGTTTAGACAGGAGTAATTTCACTGGTTTCAGGGAATGCTGCTGTATGTCCATGTGAGTGGGGAGACTTCGGCTGTGGCACTGGCCAAGCAGCATCTGCAGCAGCCAGGAAGGCTGGTGAAGATGTAACCTGTTTGACTCGATGTCTAGAGGCCAGGAAGGACACAAGATTCCTTGTGTTGTGCTTCATGTTTTGGGCTTTATACAAACCACTTCTTCAGCAGATGTAAACACTCAGAAGCAGATGCAAATTTTCCAGATTCTCTTCTGCTTGTGGTTACCTCCCCGCTGTGGTGTGATGGGGAAGGAACAAGGAGGTTACAGGGACACATGAGTGATGGGCATTTTCTGTAAGTATTCCTCTGCTGTGAAGCGTCTCTGTCCCCCAGTTATTTCTGATTTCTTCTTGCAGATAGGTCAGCTGAGCACACAGTTAGTTTGGGACTGCTAATACAGTATGCTCACTGGGAGCAGCTGATAATGTACTCATGCTGGGTTAAGATTTTCCAGAAAAGAGATAACATTTGCAGATGGCTTAAGCTGACTCCTTTGGCTTCAGTTTTTTTTTATTGATAGATGAAAGCAGTACACATGACCAAGCTATGGAAATCTTTAAAAAGTGTCCTCCCTTGCCCTGCTTTCTTAACAGTTCCTGTGTTGTTTTCCTCCTTGTCTCTTGCGTGACTACAGCAGGCACCAATCCTGTTCTTGAGCCTTCCTTGTACCTTTTCTGCATTGAGGAGCTCTGTGCCCTCTATCATCTTCTCACCATATCCCAAAGAGATCAAGACAACCCTTCCAGACAAAGTTTTTCTATCTTTTTTTCCTCCCACACAGCTCTCTTTTCCAGTGGATTTATTTTGCCAGGTAATGGTTTCCAAAGAATCCATTCTAAATTTCCAATATTTAACATCAGATTTTCTAGTCTTGGAAACACTTAGGTTGTTGCCAACCCAAAGTTCAGGAATTGATTGCACAAGCAGACTAGCTAGCCATTCTAAAGGGATAGTAACTTTTAGGAGCCGAGCAGTGGTGAGTAGTTGTCTGGTGATGAGGAACAACAGGATGATCCTTCCACTTGCACTGCCATAACCAGAAGAGACTGGGAGTAGAGGAGAATCACCTACTTATGGACCATCTGTATGGCACGTGTCTATATCTGAGATGCTCAGCCTGGACTTCCTTTCCTGTCAGGGGTCCACTTGGATTAAGGGTATGGTTTATCTTGCCCTAAAGCTTTTGTCTAAATAGGACAGAAAATTTGTGTTCCAAAACCTTTTTTTTCCCACTGGCTATAAAAGAAGCCTAACTAAACTTTAGACTTTTTGACTGAACTGAATCCATCCAAACATGATAGCATCCTTTACATTAAGGATGTGGTTTTACCTAAGACACAATCTCTATCGTTTGCCCAGTGTCCTAGTTAACAGGCAAAATCAACAACAAGGCTCTCCATTAGCAGCCCAGCTGCAAGGGAATTGCAGCATTTTTCTTTCAAGGATGGTTTTAGTACTCAAAACTATAAACTTTAACTCTACGGTAAATTGGCCAGATAACATAATTCCACGGCAGCACATCTCAACCCGACCTTTTCCTCCCCTCCCCTCTGACTGATCAACTGTTGGACTTTATGAAGTGATAATAAAAGACCACACAAAGATAATTGCTCAAAATTGTCAGGGAGGAGCTCTGCCAGCTCCAGGAAGGTCCTCATGGTATGTTCTTGTACAGGAACCAAACCAGCAAAGTGCTGTGGAAGATGTTTGACCACCCCAACATGTGGTGAGAATTTAAAGCAGATGTCAAGTGTTGGTTTTGGAAAGTCACTGAGTTTTGAAGACTAAAGTTTTGGGTGTGTTTTTTGTTGCTTTGCTTGTTTGTTTGGTTGGTTTTTTTCCCCAGTAGCGGAATATTATCATGACTGCCCTGGGAAACAAAAGGAAAGTTTTTGAACTCTAATAGGTATCTGATGAATTTTAGATGATCCCAGGGCAGCCGTGATAAAAATGTACAGGGTGGATACTCAGTTGTGATTTTCTGCAGTGTTGACTTAGAATGAACTGGGCACTTTAATGGTGAAATTACACCAATTTAAATGAAGGAGTGAATAAAATGGGTGTTTAAAGGCAAATTTCTCCTGTTCGGCTAAATAGTGGGGATATTTTATACTCACAAAGCTCCTTCAAGAGAAGTACAAATAAAATTGATTTCATACGTCTGTGGCATGGGAAATAATTTTTACCTGTAATTTACAGTTTGAGATAAAGGGGTGGTTAAAGTTTTGTTTTGTTTTGTATTTCAAATTCCTGTGATTACATTTATTTTTTGGCATGCTTGTTATAGAAGATGGCTGAATGTCCCTCAGGTGTGTTGCCTTTTCTATGTGTTCCCTGAGATGGTAATTGTAGATGTTTGCAAAATGTCGACTGGTCTGTCTCCCACCCAAGAAAATCCAATGAGACTTTCTCCACTATGGACTCCAACACTGTTTGCAAACATTTTCGCCACTTATTGTGTGTAGGTGCCATCCCTACTTCCGTGTTAAGTTTCTCAGCAGTCAGATGTGATTAAGCAGTTTCTGCTCTTTCCTCTCAGTCCTTTGGGGATGTATTAAGTGGCTGACAAAAGACAAAAAGAAGCTGTGCAAGCTGCTGGGAGCTTGCCTGATTTCAGCACAGTTTGAGGGCGCCTGCATGCTCTCAGGGGCGATGCAGGGCTGTCTCTGTTACTTACATTTGTTTGATAATGTGGCCTCTTGAAAGCACTGTTCTTTCTGGATTGCCTTGTGCATGCATTTTGCAGACGTGGTGTGACTTCAGGGCTCATTTCCACTAGCTGAGAGGCAGAGATGAAAATGGGGAAGGATGGTCTTGAAAGCAGTGTTTTGCTTTCTTACAGCAAAGAGGATCAAGTCTACCCTTAACAGGGGTGAGGATGGGTGACGCCAAACTGCTCTGAAGAAGTCTTTGCCTCCCTAATTTACACCAGTGTCACTGAGAAGAATATATGGGTTTTAAAATTTTACCTTCTCACTTTTTTACAACCTAAAGAATGACTATTTTGGTTCCTGCCCTCCTCTTACTGAAGTCAACTCTTATTTTCCCGTGAAGTGATATTCACAGGGAGGCAGAGCTCTGCTCTCCCCACTTTCAGATGTGGGCAGAGATCAAGTTAGGGATACTCCAAGGAATGGAACCAAACTCTTGGCAGTGATTTGTATCTCATAAACATGATATCACAGTATGGCATTGAGTGCATATTCTGCTTCTTTGTTAAATAAAGAAAATGGGGAAAGAGTTTTTATTTTTAAAATTTCTTGCTCTTTCTGCTCCTTTTGATTTGAGCTTTGTTTACTACCAAAGCCTAAGGAAGGGGGGAAAGGGAAGGGAATCCACCAAAGGTTGTAGGAAAATTGGAAAGAGTAATTTCTTAATATCCTTCACCAAGTAGAGATAAGGCTGACTGAACCCCTGCTGACAGCGGGCTCTGCTTTCTTTCCACAGTTTCCATTGAAGATATTCGGGATGTGAGGTCAGGCCATAAAACAGAAGGTATGGAAAAATATGCCAAGGATGTCCCAGAGTATCGCTGCTTTTCCATCATTTTCAAAGACCAGCGGAAAAACCTGGACCTCATTGCCAGTTCAGAGGATGATGCCAACCACTGGATCTCCGGCCTTGGGAAAATCATAGCCCACAGCAACTCCATGAACCAGAAACAGAAACTCCAACAGTATCCTTTGCCTTATAAAGTGGTTAATCACAGACAAAGATGCACTTGTCTTTCTCTGTGGGTGGAGATAGTAGACTAACCCCCTTTTTTCCTATTGGCCCTGGGCACTGAATTTTCTGTCGTGCTGATTTTGCAGCCAGGCAAACTCCCTGGTTTCCAACGCTTTTTTCCCCTGTTTTACAGTGATACAAGCATGGGTGGATTCGGGCTTCACATAGCTCCTTAAGCAAAGAATTGCCTCTTTCAGGGAGCTCCAGATAAAACAATAATTATTTTTTGTATTCTTCAGGGATCTGTTTCACTCACATTGCAGTAAACTCCAGGACAGGCACTTCTTGGCAAGGCATGAAAAGCTCATACTGTTTATCATGTTTCTCAGTAATACAAGGCGAGGGAACTGATTCTCCCCTTCTGACTGCCAAATTTACTCTGAGGTAGCTCCACTGACTTTAGTGAAATTACTCCTTATCTACCTTAGCATAGTAGGAAGTTTTGCCCTGAAAGAACTTGCAGTTGCTCTAGTGACAATGTAGAGGCTGGAAAGGAAAAATAGAAGAGCAAGAAAGGAGGTTGAATTAGTTGTGAAATGGAGAGTGAGTTAGTTATTGGGTGAAAACCTGGCTCCTCTGAATTTGCAGGGAATTTTCCCTGGGGCTGAATTTCACTCAGCAACTTGCTTTGCAATCACAGGTCTCACAACCATATAAAAAGCATGAGTATCTTTGGGTGCAGTTTTTGATGGATTTTCTGCAGTCCCTGTGTGTCTGAGGCCCAACCGTGACATATGAACCTGTTGGCCGATTTCACCCTGATTTGACAGAGCAGCAACAGTCATAAAATACTGAGTTCCTTTAAGCTTCACAAAGATAGGCATCCAGCCATCAGAGAGGAAACCAGATAGTGTACTCAGTGAGAGAAGGCTGTCTGAGCTTCATGTCTTGTTCAACATCAAAGCATCTGTGGAGAGGAGGGGAGATGCGAAATCCTCAGCTGGGGAAAATCACAAAGCTGGAGTCTGAGCCTGAGCAGGCACCAGGGAGTCTTGCCCTCAGTCAAGGCTTCACCCCATGTGGGTTCCCTGCTGGGTAATAATGTACTGATGGTGAAGGAGATGGCACGCAAATGCTGAGCTTTCACCAGGCTTTACTGTTCTGTGGATTCTACGAAGTGTAACGGGCACTTGCACAACCATAGTGCTGTTCATTTAGACGAATCAGACTCCTTTAGTTCTGATGTGCATGGGATCCTGTGTGTATCTCCTGCACTATGAGTATTTTCCTGGAAGCTTTTCCAAGCTCTAGGCTGTAAGATCATTCCTCAGCTGCATCAGCAGTTGCACATCCATGGTGGTAGGGAGCAGTCCCTAGAGAAATTGAAATCTTGAAACTTTAGTGCTGTTGGCAATGTTGCGCCCTGGCAGCTTTCCTTTTACATGTGAAGTCTGCTCCCACCCCAGAGTATGTGGGGAAAATCTGGGCTACAGAAAGTTGTCCCTGGAGCATGTCAAATCGAACATATCACTGAAAAACTTCCCCATAAGAGACAAGATTGCTAAGGGGAGAAAAATAACAATGACATTTGGAAGGGAAGAAGGCTGTAAATTTCCAATGTGGAAAAGTGCCTCTCTGTCTTTGGAAAGCAGAATCGAAGCTAAATAAGGTGGGTAGGCAAGCCGTATTTCTGGAAGAGTAATTACCGTGCAGTGCTGGCTTCCAATCTGGGATTGTCTCAGGCCATTTAACGTAACCTGGAATTATAGAACAGCATGATTTCTCATTTGAAATTTGATGATGTTTAATTAAAGCCTGGGATTTTAAATTTAGTCTGTCTTCACTGGGTATGCTTGGCAGCGTGGGCTTAGTCAGATCTTCCTTAAACCTCAGAAGTGTTCTCTGCATCTGTGAGCACAGAAGGGGAAGAGTCAGTAGATGAGGAGAAGTGTTGGGTCCCCTGTCTGTCCCCTATGGCTGGAGAATTGCCTTGCAGTGTATCTTTTCCAGCCTCCAAAACCTTGCAAAGCAAATAAGGCATGAGCAAGATTCTGAAAACAAGTATTGAAAGCAAAACAGTTGCTAGTTTCAGATGGGGTTTGTTCAGTTTCTATGATGATGGACTTGCCAGTGCTAGGAAAGAATTCAATTTTAGTGCCTTATGTGTCCTTTCCAGTCCTATATTCCTACAAAGATAAAATTTGCACATGCTTGATGAGTACTTCTGATGTTCTTATACATACAGTACTGTTTTATTAAGCCTCAGATTCAACCCAGCAGCAAGCTGGCATAGGTTATTTAGCAAATATTGCAGGTATGTGTTCAGGGAAGACTTTAGACCAGAAAATACAGGGGATTTTTCATTTGAGCAGTGTGGCACCATCTGCTTCGATTCTGGGATTTATGTATGAGCTTTTCTTCTGGTTGGAAATCACTTACCAGAAGTTTTGCAGCATTTCTGTTCTGAGTACAGTCATGGGATATGTGCCAGATAGTTTCAGTCATCCCTCTTTGGTTTCTAATAGAAAGCTGGTAGCCCTGGTGCTGGCAGGTTCTGTAAAAACAAGAGGCAGGAAGAGGCTCTCTCCAGGTGCATACAGGAATGGGAACAACTTTTTCCTTGTCCACCCAGGCCCAAATAGGCACATAAGGTCAAAGGAACACTCACAGCCTGCAAAATGGTGTTTCTAGCAGGTGAGAAGAATTTCAGTTGAAGTGCTTAGTTCATTCAGCTCCTTTAAGATATCTCAAACCTGGGGAGATCCAGATGCATGAGGAGTTCAGGTGTTTTGGGGACTGAACACTACTGTTTGTAATTTCCTTTTTCTCTCTTTGCTGCTTGCCCTTGCAGCAAGGGGGCCCACTCTGTGCCTGTGCTCTTCGTGGGCTTTCTTGATTTCCCTCCTACATTGCTCAGCCTCTACGGAAGGGATATAACAGGAAAACATCCTCCATTTGCACACAGGACCCAGGCATACTCTTATGCAGACGCATTTACTGCCCACATATTACCTTCCAGAGTTGATGTTAGATATGTGCATGACCTTGGGGTGCTCATGATCAGGGGAAATGACTGCAGACTTTTTTAAAAAGGTGGGTTTTTTTGCAGTGGTTAGAGCAGATTGGGCATTTTTTAAAGATTTTTTTTTTTAGAATGAGTTTGGAGCAATGTTTTCTATGCAAGACATGAAAGGTTACATTTGTAGAGATCAAATTATTACTTTGATCATTTTTCTATTGAAAAATAGGAGATTTTTCTGGATGACCTTTCTTATTTGACAGTAAAGCAAATTAGAGAGAGTCACTTCCATGATGCAAAAAGTATGGGTTTTCTTCGTTTAAAACTGCAAGGTATCTCAATTGTCTAACATTATTTTCCCAAGAGATTGAAAGAACATGGGAGACCTAGTTCATATTAACTGACACCATATTAAGATCATTTTTTATAGTAATTACTCTAGATCCATAGACATACTAAAGCTATTACAAACCAAGCTCATATGAACTATTATCACAGTATGATACTGTAATAGATCCTGTGCATTTCACAAGGAGAAGCCAAGACCCACAAAGTTGGGTTTGATTCTGCTTGCAACAAGGTTCTTAAGACATATAGGTAGAAATCTCTAAATAAATACAAAAGACAAAGGTGAGTAAAAAAAATAATATTAATGCTTCTTTTGGACAATCTCTGCTCAGAGTTCACCTTGATGTACTGAATATTAATAAAATCTGTAACAATGAGTTTACCAAGCTCCACTTGGGAGTACTTTTTATCCTTCCCTTACCCCCTTTCAACAGTCTGGAGCAGAATGCACTTTCTGTCATAAAAGGGAAATCCAACTGTTTCTGGTTGTGACCAGAAACCCCTACAGGGTAAAGATAGCTGATCCAGCCTTGGGCAGATGGTAAAAAGCTTCTCCTGGGTCACAATTTCTTGTATTGCAGTGCATTTTGCTTCTGCCAAAGCACCATTTTGCTCTTTTAGAGCAGAAGGTGAGATGATGTAAGCTGTTCAGTGGTAGCATGCTGATTTACAGCAGCTGGAGAGGTGGTTCAGAGTCTTTAGAAGAGATTTCCCCCCACCATGGGCAGCAGACTGGTGATATTTAGGTTAGGCACTGACCTGGAAAGATTTCCTTACATCATCCTGCAGCTGGATTCATACTTGCTTGAGGAAAGCTGATAAAAACAAAGACAACAAGATGAGCTTGAAAGAGCTCAAGAACTTCCTGAAAGAAGTGAACATTGAAGTTGATGATTATCATGCCAAGAAGATTTTCCAGGTAATAAGAGCAAGCAAATAAAATATTTGCTGTTGGCTGAGATCAAGGTCTCCCACAGCTTTCAGCTTTAGTTGGAGACCTAAGCTAAAGTAAACTCCTAGGATCTTTTCTTGTACCAAGGAAGGACTCTCAGTTTTTGGTGTTCAGCAGTTTTCCACTAACAACTAAGGCCAGCACAGTGCTTTTGATGAAGGTGTCTTAAGGCCTTTCTTTACTTTTGATGTCCAGTTTTGGCAGGATTCAGAGGAGATGAGGTGCAAACATGGATAATGCGAGAAAAAGGGAAAAGCAAAGTTCAAGTGCCCTTTGAATTCCAGGAGTTTCAGGAGTTCTGCATGTCACAACCACATGCCAATACCTAAGTCTGGCTGAAATTGGTTTGGTTACAATTATGAACTGGATTCTCACCTTCTCAGAGGAGGACGGTGCCAAGTGACAGGTGTAAATGAAAAGAAAGTGTAAATTAGGAAAAAATCCCACACAGATTCATGATAGATATGTAACATTGCACTCAAGCCTGGACCAGTCTGCATGATTTAATAGCCCAAGGCATATTTAGTCTAGTCAGGAACATACAACTCTAAATTCTCAAGATTTGGCTTGCTGGCTGAGCCTATCAGAAGATAAGAAAGGGATGAAAATTTCTCAGTTGTTAAGCTTTTGGTTTCTCTCTGAAGAAGCCTTCCTGCTGAAGTGAGATAAAACATCTGGCTAATTTCCAAACTTCCATCGGGTCTGAAGCAGGATTTGAATTAATGAGTGGGCAGTTTCAGCAATGCTTTTTCTGATCAGTGGTAAATGTGTGGGTGGTTTTGGGCACTGAGCAGTAGTTCTCCTGCACCTTCCTGTAAGCAGATAGCAGGGAAGGTTGGCAAGAAGTCACTAGGACCTTCCCCCAGAGAAGGTATATGTTTTCTATCCGTGCTTTATGGAGGTCTCTCTCTGGTAGCTCTGCAAGAACTGGGGGAAGGTCATCAGCAGATCTTAAAAAATTTCAGCTTGCAAAATCTTCCAGATATACTGCCTGCTGTGGCTGGCATATCCTATTTTTTATTCCCTGCTCAGAAAGACTCTGAAAGAATAGAAATAAGTCTGGGATTTCTCTGACTGAGTTAGATGTCTCCAGTGCAGATGTCTACAATGGAAGTAGTCACCAACACTTACACTTCCTTTTCAGTCTGTTTAGGTCAAGACAATAATGGAGACTGGTGTGCAATTCACCTCATCCTAAAAGGATACATATGTCAGATGAATCACTCTTTACATCTTCCAGCATCAAACATCTGAAAAGACACCTTTTTTTTTTTTTTTTTTTTCTGTTCAGAGCTGCAATCTCCTCTTCATTCAATGAACCTCTTACGCTATTGCAATATTAACAAGGGTGCCCTAGGAGTGGAAACTTGAAGTTCAAGTCTCTTTTTGCTTAAGGACTCCCAAGTAATTACTAAACCTTAATTCATCCCATCTAAATGCAGGCAGCTAGTTGAAGTACCCTCATTAGGCATGTAATTGTTATAACTTTCCTGTATAGCCACTGGAAAGAGAGGCTCTTTGGAGGTTAATTCATATCTCTTGTGGGCTGAATTGCCTCCAGGACAAGCCTGTCTTGCTCCTAAAGCAATTACATTTTCAGTTTACATACTACCTCAACTTAGATGGACTGAGAGACACTATAGCATATTAAAAGGGTCGTCTTTTCTGTCTTAGTGAGTTTTTCTTCATTTAGTCACAGGAAGGATGGCCAATCAAGGATTCAAGAGAGCACTACAGATCATGTTCTCACATTATTCTTGCTTTTCATCACATAACTCTGTGTCTGCATCTAGGTGTTAGACACACCTGAGTAAGACATATGCAGTGCAACCAAAAACTGCAAAGCTCCTCCAATTGCTCACTTCATTTCACCCTGAATATTCATTCTGGTGCATCAGAAAGGTTCGGACTTTTTCTGGCAGGCCAAGGTTCGTTTAGAACTCACGGTTTATGATCCAAACAAGTGAGGTAAAACATAGTATTTTGGGTTGAGATCCTCCTTTTAATTTGTAGCTCTTGTATCCCAAGCAGAAGGAGCTCATTTTTATCCTGTGGGTCTGATCTGTCCTGGAATAAGACTACAATGCAAATGCCACTGTCCTATTTCCATCACAACCTTTAGTTGCATTTTGTCCATAAAACCCAGGACAATAGCTCTACATCTCATAAGAGATCAAAGACCAAAAATAATTAAATTCCTCTGGTTTGACAAGTTACCAGCTAAGTCATAGTAACTGACAGCAAGTTGTCCATCATGGGGGTGAAATGAAATGTACCACAACCTCCTCTGAGTGGCTTGGAGCACACTTTCCATTCAAAGTTCCAGCCTGAAGAAAAAAGTTTTTAGAGCAAAAACTAAGTAAGGCAAGCCATGTCCTGCAGGGGTTTGCTATCCATGCCAAAATTGGGATTTCCCAGACTTACCTGAAATGTAAGATGTGAGTGAGCTGTATGAGATAAGGACACTACTGTTAAGGGTCTGTTTGCTTGCTTTAAGAATTGAGAGAGAACCTTCATAATAACAAGGCATTAATTAGAAGCAGGTTAATTACTGAAATTTTCAGGGAAAACCACTTGGAAGCGGTGTAATGCTCCCTGTTATAAGTGATTCCTCTGAGATAGGGTCTTGCTTTCCATTGCAGCTTGTTTTGCTCAGCCCATATTTAATGCAGAGGTTTACCTCCCAAAAATGACTGAAAGATAGTTATTCACCTTTCCATAAAGAATTCTGCTAGGAACAAACAACAAAATTCATATCAGGATTTGCCATAGAAAAATCGTAATTTCTGATGAAAAATTGAACCTGGGAATTTTAAAAATAAACTGGAAATATCTGTTGTTGGAAAAGCTGTTGTCCTTCATGGAGGCACTAACTTGTATATCTTAAATTCCTAATCTCTCATGGTCAGTCAAGTCCTCGACCATGGTGCTTTGCCAGAGCTGTTACCTAGTAGAGAAGTTCAAACCACAGAGGAACATGGGACCTTGAAGAATTTGAATTACAGCTCCTTGAGAAGCTGATACCTGATTTGAAATTTTGTGGAGATTTTGTTACTTGGTGGCTTTTGAATGAGGATGGACGATTTCCATGGAAAGTGGGATTTTTTCATATCTAAACATGCACATGTTTAGCAGGATTTTTTTTAAAGTCAGTTTTGATGCCATCTTTACAACCAGCCCCACAACTAGCCTTGACAGCCTCTTGAGGCCTGAGTGCAAAGCCACTAAGATCAAGGGGAAGGCCCTTTTCACTTTACTTAGGCTATGGTCTCTATCAATACTTTAAGATGCATTGAGTTAATTGTTTCCTGATATTCCTGTATTCCTCCACCTCTTGAGATCAAGCAGTACATTTCCCTTGAGCCTTGATTTGTACTTAGATTGTAAGGAGCTGTCATTTTAACTTATGTCTTGCACAGTACACTGTGCAGTGGAGCTCAAGGCCATGCCTGGTGCTTTTCAGCACACTGATCATATGAATAAATAGTAATAATTATGACTGTTATATGACTGTTGGCCTTGTCAATGAGAACCACTGTCATTGACCAAGTGCTTCTCATTCACCGGCCAGTAATTGTTTCCAATTATTTTGTGTTCTGCGTTGTGTAGCCCTGGTGCAGATTACGGCTGGCATATGCCAGAAGGAAAGAAGGTTTTCACTCCTTCTCCCCTCTACGTTTACAGCACTGTGACAAGTCCAAAACAGAGGCTCTGGAGGATGATGAGATAGAGGAATTTTACAAGATATTGACAGAAAGGAAGGAGATAGACAAGATCTTCCAAAAGTACTCAGATGCAGAAGGGTTCATGTCCTGCCAGAACCTGGTGAGGTTCCTCTATGAGACACAGCAAGAAGAAGATGCTGTTGTTGCTGCCCCTGCCTTAATTCAGAGATATGAGCCCAATGAAAGAGGTACGTTGGAAACCCTGGCTGGTTTGGTTCACAATCTTGCTTTCTTGATGAAATATAAGTTGATTTACTGCTGCTTTCTTCAGCAGCCACATGTGTCATTTTATCCTCACAGCTGCTTCTAAAACACCAGTTTTCTAGGGGAACATAAACAGCTCTAGGAGAGAAGGGAACAGGAGAGCTTGGGAAATATTTCTCTTAAATTTTGGCTTGGGCACACTGAGCAGCTGGTGAGAGATTGATATAGGGTTGGTTAGATGGTGATGAAATTCCCAAAAGGCTCTGATGGCTTATTCAAATGTCAAGACCTCACTTGGCTTTGCAAGGTTAAGAATGAGCAATATTTGTGTCCTCCAGAAGCAGGAATGGAGGCAAGTGTTTTTGAATGTGGGCACCTGAAGAACCATCGAGTGATGTGATGTCTGAATATAGAGGGCAAAGAAGGTGACAACTGTTTAGGAGAGCAATCACAGAACTGTCTTTCTGCTCAGAAATTGAGTTGCCAGCCTCTAACACCTTGGAGTACATGTTCAAGAAATGAACACGGGATCATAGGCTGTCTTTGCACTGTCCTGGTATACCTTCAGGAGAGGGACAATTCTTTGCAGATGTCAGGCTTGGGGATTAGAATGAGATCTAGCTCAGTCACTCAAAATGGGGAGACGCCAATTTCTCCCCAAAATTATGTTATTTTGCACTTACTCTTTACAAATCATGTATTCATTGGATAATCTAGACAGGATTTATCTGTCTATGTTTAGACATCTGACAATTTCTCTGTGTTGGCATGAAGGAAGCTTGAAGTGCTCAAATGGAGATTTTTATACTGTAGATCTCTAGAGACAGGTGAGGTAAATGCTAACTTTGACACTTTCACAGTGTTATCAAGGAGAGTAATTGTCGTAAAAAGCCATACTTGTGAAGGGATTTTAAAAGTATTTTCAGGCAGATGAAGCTGTCATCATCGTCTGAACAGCATCAATGTCTTTACTATTAGCTGAATGCCTAGGGAGCACATTTTGCCTCTGAGATCCTCTGGAGAGCAGCAAGTGTCATAGTGGAGATGATGGCACAGCCTGGTGGTGTCAAATTTTCAGTATGGGGTTTCTGTCTATTTATCTGACAGCCAAGAGGGGTAATGCCATGACCAAAGATGGTTTCCTGATGTACCTGCTGTCTGATGATGGGAATATATTCAACTCCTCCCACCGTAAAGTTTACCAGGACATGACTCAACCTCTCAGTCACTACTTGGTGTCATCCTCACACAATACCTATCTTATGGAAGACCAGCTTACAGGTCCAAGCAGCACAGAAGCCTATATCAGGTAATGTTGAGTGTGTGTGTTTATGTGTGTGTGAGAAGTTGGCCTCTTTCTTGTAGAAGATGTAGGGTGCATCTATAGTGCTAAGTTCAAGAGGACCAAGAAGCAGTTTCCCACCCTAGGACCAGGTAGTGTGGACTGGCCCATGTTCACAACAGGGTGAGCTGTTTCTAAACCAGGTTGGCCATGCCCTGCTTTTCATAGCACTTTGACCTGGGTCTCTGCTGAGCCTCATGTGGTGTCCACCTGACTGTAAGATGTATAATTACTACATTTGGGAGTAGTTTAAAATATCTACAATCATGTGTAGGTTGAATTGCAGCCCTCTAGCATAGTGTTTTCAAAGCATGGTACTGAAGGGATATGTTGAATTCCCAGAATATGGCATAAGAGAGTGCAAGGAGCTTACAAGGTGCAAAGATTTCTGGGATAGAGCTGCAGGACTGTATAGGGACTGGAAGGAGCCAAAACGATGCATACTGTCATGATGTTTACAATCTATATTGCCTTTTGAGAGTAGCCCCTGGCATGGACTATCTCTAGAGCCATGATGGGGTTTATTTTGGAGAGACCTAGTTGGAGCGGTCCAAAAAAAAAAGGTGGGATATAAGCTAATGAAGCAGTGCAGGTGATCAGAAAACTTACGCCTGGTCCCTCTTTAGCAGCTCAGATACTCCCACAGCGTTCCTGGACAGAACATTAGGTGTTGCCTACTTCTGCCTTTAACAACGATGCTGTCTGATGTCTCATGGTCAGATGTTTGCAGTGGCCTTTACTAACTTGCACAAGTGCCTTACATTACTTCATCTATGACCTGTGTTTTTATCAAGTGAGACAGTGTTTCCTTATAAGTAAGCCCATGACTACAATTCTGTCTTTGTTCATTACTTATCTAATTCTGAGGGAACAATAGCTGTCTAAAGTCAGAAGCTCAAAAGAGCAGAGAGTGAAATCTGGACCAAGCTGGTTTTCACGAGCTGTTTGAATTCCTCTTACAGTATCTTAAAATTACAGAATTATGTTTTTCTTGAAAAAAAAAAAAAAAAATCCCATGATTCTTATTACAATGAGTTAAAGGAGTTGTGTTGTCTGAAACATAGGGAATTATTGTAAAAGAGACACGATCACCTCCTAGACAGATAAGTATTTGAAAGTAAATTAAAATGACAGTATGGATGTGTAGAGGTGGGAGTTTCAAGTGAAAATTGAGTCTGTAGGCTCAGTTTGGGAAACTGGTCCTCAGCAGTCTACCCAGATATGGTGGAGTTCCCACAGCTCCCTCCCTAACAGCTCTGAGGATTCACTTTTCATGTATTATCAGATCTAGATGAAGAAGTCACATCACCCAGGCTTTGTGACCTGGCTTCTAAGGTTGACTGTCTTACTGTCTTTCTGCCAGTGCAGTCACTCTTGATTTTCTCTTCTCTTCAGCATCTTTGGGAAAGACTTGGGGCACAGTCATGAGTGTCCTTTCTCATCTGGCACTCACTATATCTTCTTCTCTGGATAATTCTTACCTTGGACTTTGACCACCTCCTTTCTCAAATCCCACTGTGTTTTCCTTGCTCAACCTTGAGGTCTCTTTATCAACTCTGAGCTCTCCTGATCCCATCCTTTCTCCATCTTCTTTCCTGTTTTTCCAAGCTCCTCTTTTCTTCCTTTGTCCATAAACTTCCCATCATCCTTCCCAGGCAATACCTGTGCCTGACGCACCCTCATTCTGAGATTGAGCAAAAGTTATAGAACCCAACCAGGTCCCTTCTTTGTTTCCAGAGCCCTCACCAAAGGCTGCCGCTGTGTGGAACTGGATTGCTGGGATGGCCCTAACTCGGAGCCCATCATTTATCATGGCTACACTCTCACCTCCAAGATCCTCTTCAGTGATGTCATTAAGGCCATCAAGAACTATGCTTTCAAAGTAAGGACTAGGGACCCTCTAAGATTTCTCATGTTGCACAATCCAAGACTGATAGGAGGTCTCTGCCCTCCCAGCAGAGAGCTTAAACAATGAAGACTTCACCTTAGCATTTTTCATGGGTACAAGATGTGCCCTGCTGTCTGGGCATCCATGTCTGCTTTCTGCAGAGATCCATTCCTGGGAGTTGCTGGACAGGCAGAGCTCTATCTGAGGATGAGTTTGAATCTATACCAGCAGAGCTGCATCCTGGACTCCACTGCAATGAAAATAATGACCAATATCTTGAGCATACCTGGTGGGAAATGCAAACAAGCCCATGATTTGTGTGACTTGGATGCCTCAGGGTCCATTCCTAGTTCAGAGGAACCCATGTGTATGTGTTTTGGAGAGACTGATGTGAAGGACCACTTCTGTTCTGCTTTAAAAGGAATGAGCAGATCTGGAGTCTTCTATGGCAGTGCTGGGCCAGCAGCCTTTAAAAAAAACTTGGATCTGTCTAGGCTCACTGGGCTTTCTGCTATTTTCCTTCAGTGCACTTGAGAATTAGTATTGAGCTTCTTTTGGGGCTATAAAACAGTGACAACGGCAATTCCTTCAGCACACAGAATGACTAGAGGGGGCCACAGGGAACCAGATCAGGCCTATGAATGAATGGAGGAAGGATTCATGTCACCTAAGGATTTGACCAAACCCAGTGATTTCAAAGCCTCCCTTCCTAGTCCTTCCTCTGAGGTAGGAAGGTGCTTTGACCCACAGTGCAAGTGGAGAATGGAGGCACAGGGACCCTCATCAAAGTGCCCCAGAAAGTCTGTGGAAGGCATCCTGACCCAGCCAGGTTCCCTATCCATTGGATCATTATCTCTGGAAGGCATCAGCAGAGATCTGAGTAGTTACTGCACAGTTAAATTTGTCCATTTTTAACAAATACTCATTTTAGCAGAATACTAGACCCTACTGTTGATGCACTCATTTCCAGAGAAAACAGCACCGGGGTTTATATCAATCACTGTAGACTGGTGAAATTGCAGAGTTCGCTGATGATGTGTGTTGCTGTGTTGTTCCAGACCTCACCATACCCTGTCATCATCTCCCTGGAGAACCACTGCAGCGTTGACCAGCAGAAGATCATGGCTCAGCACATGACAACGATCCTGCAGGACATGCTCTTGGTTGCCCCAGTCGATGGAAACAAATCCCAGTTCCCATCCCCAGAGGTAAGCAAGGCCACTCTAGCACTTTCTGCCTTCTAAGGGTGGGACAAGAGAAATGTCTGTCTTCTTACTGGGTACCAAGTAGTTGACAATATGCCTGAGGACTGGTGGGAGCTGCACTTGCTGAGGAACAGAGATTGTCAGTGTGCAGTGGTGGAATAAGAAATAGGAGTATCTAGCCTGTACACAGCAAGCACAAAATGCCCTGTTGTTCCTTGTTTGTTGTCTAAGGTCTCAGAGGAGACATCCCAGCAGGACTGAGGACATTCCTGGTTCATTTATCAAGGCCAGAGAATGTCCTTGATCCCCTGAGGAGGTTGCTTTTCTGGCTTTTCCATGAGGGTCTATCTTGTGTCTGCTCCCCACACCCCAAAGCTGAATAATGACCTTCTTCAGGTTAATTCTCTGAAACACAGTTGGGTTGCTGCACATGCAGGGAAGGTTAGCACCACAAGGAGTGACTACAGGATGTCTCGGTGTTTCTAATCCAGCATGAGTGGGCATTGTCTGATTTCATGGTAGACAAGGTTTTGCTCTGTGCTGAGGGATGTAGCATACGCTCCCCTCCTCCTTTAATGCCTTGGGTGCCCTACTGTGGAGATCCAAAAGCTGAATAGGAAGCAATGAGGGCTGGAAGTACAGATGTGATTGCTTGCCCCTCAAAATTCAAGAGCAGAACCAGTACAGGTAGCATAAAACTGTATCAAGCACAAAGTGTCCTTCCACTGAAAATGGCCTGGGGTGGTGGGGATGGAGATGTCCATGGAGGACAAGGGGATGCATCAGACTGCATAGAGATGCCCCTTTGATTCTCTTGAATCAGGGCAGCTGAGAAGCTGGGAGCTGAGCTTGGACCCTGCAGGGGGAAGGAGATATACAGCCTTCAGCAGTGGACCACCACTATAAAATCATCAGCTGACAATTAGAAAAAAAAAGGAAATGGTATCTTGATGTGAAAAAAAAATATTGTTTCCAAAACAGAAGCCAAAATGAAACATTTGTCTGTTTCCACCCTTTGGGTTTGTGTTTTCTTTCTTTCTTTTCTCTTAAGCACTTTTCAGAAAGAGGCTTTTATGTGCATAGCTGCAGTTCCCTTTAAATTGTATTTCTTTTCTGAAGAAATCATTTGCATGCCTTGCCAGAGCTGGAAGGAGTTTGTGGGTGGGATAAAGCTGGCAGTCAGCAGGGGAGAAGGGAGAGGAAAACGATCCACCCAAAATATCTTCTATATTTGTTCTCCCTTTTTCTCTTTTCCCTGACTTTCTCCTTTTGTTTGGGAGTGTCCTGCCTCACTTGATACAATGCCTAGCACAGAGGGAAGCTGATCTGGGTTGGTCCCTAAGCACCAGTGCAATATGAATCATAATTTTTAATGCTGCTGCTTCAGCAGGACGTTTGCACTGGCACAGACAAGGTGCCTTCATTTAAGAAGTGACTTTCCCAGGGTGAGGATACACCCAGCATGGAGACAGGTCTCTGCAGGCTGTTACTGAGTTGGAAAAATCAAAGTCTTCAGTGTCACCCCCCCTGATTGGCTATTTAACCCCAGTACAGGATCAGGAAAGCTGCTGATGGCTTTTCAAAGTCCTGCTTTGTGACCAGGGGAATGATATGAAGAAAGAAAGGAGAAACACCAGGGAAAGAAATGTGTGATCTGTGTGTAAGGGAATGACCCCAGCTTCCCAAAGATGTTTTTCCCATTTCTTTGCTTGTCTAACCTCCTGCTCTGATTGCTCAGATGGACACGTGGCCCCAGCTGGAACAAAACAGCCCAGATCTACCTTAGTGGATGGATTTGGGTTGATATGCTCCATTGGAGGGACTGATCCATTTAGCTAAAAGGGAGGAAAATTGCCAGTGTAACAAACCCTATCCTTTTCCCACTGGTACTTTTCCTCTGCCTTCCTGCTGTGTGATCTGGGAGAGTGCAAAGTGCTGAACTACTGATTTTTTTTTTTTTTTTTTTTTGGTGGAAAATACATTGAAGCTGAAACATTAAGGAAAAAAAAAAAACAGAGTAGAAACTTGTTGGTTTTTCCACTTCCTTGTGGAGGTGACATGGGGAAGCCTGGGACTACATAGTAATTTTTATATTAGAAAAAGGGTGGGATCTGTCACTGGGAAGAAGGCTGAAAGGCTATAAATAAAAACAAGCAAAGCATTGCTACAGACTGGGTTAGCAGAGCAGTGTCAGTAATTAAAGGAATATTGACATGGTTTGGATTCATGTTAACGATTCATGCCACAGCACGGGGCAGGCATCTGATTTATTAGGCTCCATTCAGGAACAGTGTTGGGCTACACAGAGCATCTAAATATCTCCCTCAGGCTGCTGTCTTTAGGTCCCAATAGTAAATTAAAGGCCTGTAGGATGAAATGACAAAAAACACATAAAAGTTCCAGGAGGTACCAGGGCTGTAGGGAGAAGTTGATCCAGTCTCTGCTGTTGATACCTTGTTGCAGGCCCTTCTGCCCCATCTCTGATCTGCACGGGGGTCTTCCAGGGCCCCTTCCCCCTGTCCCTGCATCCCAAATAGCAATGCTGCAAAACCCCAGCCCTGGAACGAGACTAAACCAGTGGTGTTGTGGTTTAACCCCAACCAGCAACTAAGCACCACACAGCCGCTCGCTCACTCCCCCATGGTGGGATGGGGGAAAGGATCGGAAGGGTGAAAGTGAGAAAACTCATGGGTTGAGATAAAGGCAGTTTAGTAGATAAAGCTGCACACACAAGCAAAGCAAAATAAGGAATTCACTCACCACTTTCCATCGGCAGGCAGGTGTTCAGCCATCCCCAGGAAAGCAGGGCTCCATCATGTGCAGTGGTTTCTTGGGAAGACAAATGCCATCATTCTGAATGTCCCCCCCTTCCTTCTTCTTCCCTCAGCTTTATATGCTGAGCATGACATCATATGGTCTGGGACATCCCTTTGGTCAGTTGGGGTCAGCTGTCCCAGCTGTGTCCCCTCCCAAATCCTTGTGCAACCCCAGCCAACTTGCTGGTGGGGTGGAGTGAGAAACAAAGGCCTTGACTGTGTAAGTGCTGCTCAGCAATAATGAAAATATCCCTGTATTATCAACGCTGTTCTCATCACAAATCCAATACCATAGCCCCATACCAGCTACTATGAAGAAAATTAACTCTATCCCAGTCAAAACCAGGACTAGCTGCCAACATTGCATGCACCTCTTCAGTGTATCAGGCATATCTGAAACCCCTCCAACTCTTTGTTCCAGGACTTCCTTGTCTACAACGACAGTGGCTCAGCTAAGTCCAGACCAGGTTCAGTCACAGGTCTTTTAAGTCAGCAATGGACCCCAGGAACTGTCAGCTCAGGAGGATGTCTTTTGCACCATACACGTAGCTTCAAGGCCTTCTGCCCTATGCCTAACTACACACTTATGTGTTTCTCCAGCATTAGCCCAGCTTGTGTCAGTCTTGTCTGCAGTGCATCTTCTTGGCTGAAGTTCTTGAGATGAGTTTCCCTCAAATCCCTCCCTCCTTCGATAATGTGTTTCTTCCCCTTTTCTGGAGACTGTCTTCATCCTCTGGTGCTACTCATTGCTAAACCCTGCAACACTTCAATTTACAACTAGGCTGAAAGACATACACAGATGGAGATTTGATATCAATTAGTTCATCTGGTTTGCACATCTCCTCATGAATGTGAATATGTTATTCTTCTCAGCTTCTCAGAAGTCTGGGGAGATGAATATCTTCATCCTGAGAGCGGGATGTAAGGCGTCAGCGTTCATGTATGTGAGCACTTCATTTAAGGCTCCTTTTGAGAAATAGTTAATACAACCAGGGGAGTTGGAGGTGTGTTTGTCTAAATAGACAAGAAGCATCACACCCTGGGAGTGTTTGGTTCTCTCTGTTGACTCTAAAGGAGGTGCTGAAGTCATAGAAAGTTTGATGAGGTGGATCACTTTACAAATCTTCCACTCCCACTGAGATCAAAACTGGAAATCAGACCTTGTCATGGCTCTCAGGTTGCTATTAGGGGCAGGATACTTTCAGGTAAGATAAACATGTGTTTGCAGGTCTTTTAAAATCCTCTGCTCTTTACAGTTTGCTGCTTCTGATAAAATCAATGGTGTTTTCATTTAAGATGGTTGCCATGTCTCGATTCACAGACTCCCAAAGGAAGCAAAGCCCTGTGTCAGAACCATTTCACTTTCAGAGCTGAGCTTGTTCAGCATTCAGTAAAAAAGGTGGGAGAGCAGGGTAGTTCCACTTGTGGAGAACTAAGGCAAGGCAATTTACAGGGCACATGAGGAAGGGAAAGAGTTGCATCTATTCCAGCAGCCACTCCGCTGCATGTTCTCAGTAGAGTCCAGTGTCCTTGTAGCCTTTCCTTAGGTTGTGTTCAGCCTTGGGCATGCTACAGGCAGTTAGAATAGCTTTATGGTCTACTTGAAGAATATTTATTGGGTATTTCAGCTAATGCTTCTTCCTAAGACAAGAGATCTGCTCAACAGAGCTGAACTGATGATCTGAGTGTCTCTTACCTTAGACTAGAAATACTGAATATCACATGAAGGGGAACCAAGAGAGGTAGAACAAATGCATGTGTGTGTTTGCCTGTGTGTATCAGCTTGTTTAAAACCTTGTTAAAGAAGATAAGCACTAAAATTTAGGACTTTGCTTCCGAGATCCCATCTTAAATGAAGGAAGACAATGTTTGGGACTGCCAGCTTCTGCAGGGTGGATTCAGTGCAATAGTAGTATAGAATAGCACCTACCGAAAATGGAGATGAAAATGTTGTTTTGGGGTGAATCTCACCCCTCATTTTGGACCATCTACTCTGGTGTTAAGTGGCACATAGATTGCTCTCCCTTGTAGGCACAGTGGAAATTACCTGCACAGGGGGATACTAAACCTCTGCAATGTACCAGGACTCCATAAGGGAGCCAACCTTGTAGGTATCGAGGCCAAAGGGGACCACCATAATTGCCCTATGGATAGTCTTGTACAACACAGTCTGGGCTGACCAGTGTCCCTGTGCCCATGGGGAGCATCTGCAGCGTACCTAAGGTTTTCCAGAGTAACCAGAGTCTAGACAGAACAACAACAGCACCAAGGACCCGCTGCTGGCAGCCCTGATACAGAGTGTGGTGAGGAGGCAAGTTGGAAGCCGTGTTGCTGTGTCTTCACTGCTGATGTTATTCAGCCATTTAAGATGAATCTGTGCCAGAAATTACATCTCCCACTTGCTGGACAGGCTGTCCTGAACTGGAGAAGCTTAAAAAAAGCTAGTTAGCCCTACTGGTAATTAAGAATCAAGCAATCTGCCGCAAATACCTTATCCCTGGTTCTCTACTGTTGAGCTGTGAGATGAGGTGGTAATGTTTCTCATGGGATGTTAGAAAGCAGAGGCAGATAATATATTATATAGCAGGATGCAATCTGCAGCCTGTGAAGGACAAGAGGAGCTTCTCTGAGCCCCTCCTCACTGTCCCCAGGGAAATCCCTCCAGGCTTGTCTGAAAGGTTGTCTGGGACCTAAAAACTCATGCAGAACTGGATTTCACCTGCTTCAGTGAGTGTTGTGGAAGAACAGTGAGTAGCTGGATGTTGAGACAGGAAAGTGGGAAGAGACATGCAAGCAGCAGACTGAAGTGAGACTCTGAAGATGAGCCAAAACGTCACAGCTCTGCCTGGAAGAGGGCTGAGGGGCTGGGAGAATCGAGGACGGTCTGGGGATGGGGGAGGAGGATACTGCTATACTCTGACTGCTGCTTTGGGCCTTTTATTCCCAGTAACTGGTATATTCCTTCCAGCTTTGTGCATTCCTTTGTGCAGCTTTTGAGTGACAGGGAAAGTGGCCCAATGTAAACAGATCATTTGTGGTAGCTGAAGAAAAATGCTCTTGGTTGCTTTCTCATGTGCCAGTGTCAAATTTCAGCTCAAACCAAGCTTCATCCACAGCTTAACCGGGTGGTGAGGCGTTGGGCTGATCTCTGTAAAGAAGTGATGCAATTTGATTGCATCTACAAAGGGGGAATTGTGTTCTTTGAAAATGCCTGTGTTGCTTTATAAAAGACCCTTGGTTTTCCACAGTCCTGTCATTTGAGAATGGTGGGTTTTGTTGCTTTTGCTGTTGTGGAAAGGGGAAATATACAGTGTCACTGAGAGAGGGGGAGCATGCTACGCAGACTGAGGGGTTGTATTGGCTGTTTCCAAGATTGCATTTTTCTGGAATAGCTAGCACCCTTCAAAGCCAGAGTGCATCCAGGTAGCAGCAAATCTCCCAGTAACTTCACTGGAAGCTTCAGGGTTTAGGGGTGCTTCTTATTTTAAGGCAGAACCGTTCACTTAGAGATTGCACCCAGGCAGTCACCCTTCTAAGTACTGCTCCCTGCTTCCATCATCACTTCTGCCTTGTTTGGGCTCAAAGTCAGCCCCCTCTGGGCTTCAGCCTTCCTCCCACAGTCAGATCTTGCACAAGAGATACATCAGTGGTATGGTGGTCTGCAAGCAGCCACGTGATGTTGATGTGTTCCTGCACCTGAGGGTTTTATGTGGACTTCTAAAGTGGCTGGAGAGAGTTGATTCAGTGCAAGAAATGTGCTCCTTGGATTAGCTCAGCAGCCAGCTGTGTTATGTTGGCACATGCTGGTGGTTATGATCAGTGTTGTACAGCGGTAACCGTCACAGGACAACCTCTTTTCAGAAAAGGAGGTATCTTTGGGAAGGGTCTGGGGACTCTTCCTTAGGCTATCAGCACCCTCAGGTTTCACCTACAAGATCCCTTACATATTAAAATCCCTTGTCTGCTATGCATGAGGCACCTGTCCAGAACTGAATGGACCTCTCTCCCCATTAAAATGTCTAGTGGAGCAGGGAGCTGCACTGCTTCAGTCCCTGCGTGGATATCATACTGTTTCTCGAGTTGTGCATGTGTTTATAACCATACATTGCAGAGAATGGGGTAGATTAAATAACAGGACCACATGGAGGGGCAGGAACAGTGCTGTGAATAGCTCCCATGAGCCCTGACCTCCAGGCTTGCCCTTGTTTTCTGAGTCACATTCAGTTTTGAAGAAAATAGTATGTTTTTATTACCTCTAACAGCACAACAGTTTAAGTTGTTTAGTTGAGGGAATGGACAGCTCTGTATCAGAGGGGAATCAGTGGGCTATCTGGGTTTTTCAAACTCATAGCTTGTGGTCTCATAGGCTGGCCAGAGACAGTGCAAGGCCTCAGTGGAAAAATAGACTTATTTTTACCCATAGCTATAGATAATAACAAGTGACTGATGCAACTCTAAAAGGCCCTGGCCCTGGTTGCAGCTGAGGAGCTGTTATATCTTTGTTTCTTCAGGGTGAGTCAGAACCTTTTCTGATCACCAACTATTCTGTCCGCTTTTCCTTGCGCAGCAATTGAAAGGGAAGATCCTTGTGAAAGGCAAGAAGCTCAGCAGGCAGGAGGACCCCACTGGAACAAATGGGAACAACAACCTGGAGGCTGAGGATGTCTCTGATGAAGATGAAGCAGCTGAAATTGAAGATGAATCTGTAAAGACCGAGATACAGCAGAAGGGGAAGGTAAGTAAAAGAAGTAACTGAGTCCTGAAAACAGGCAGACCTGGAGAGGCAGAAAAACTATAAACAAGATCTTTGCCTGTTGCAGAAGGTTCTGAAGTCTTGCATCAGGAAATCCTGTTTTGTTAGCCTATCCCATGACTCATGCTGGGAAACCACTTCCTAGGTGGGTTTTGTACCATGCCGAAAAAAAAAAAAAAAAAAAAGGAAGCAGTGGAAATATACTTTTAATATATTCCCAGCTAAAACAGTTTTCGGTGTGGTTTCAGCTACTCAGTTGGGGATATGTAAGGGTGAATTGTTGAAATCGCTGAAACTAAGGATCCTGGTCCTTGCTCAGCTTAATGATCTCTGTCCCAAGCACAAACAGAGATCTTGCAGAACCAGCCAAGCATGAGGGTTGGCTTCTTTCCTTAAAATGAATCTGGAGGACCCTGCAGCTGTGACAGACCACGCAGCATTTATGGAAGCAGTTCCATGTTCAATCTACCTCTGTCTGATTTCCAGAAGTCTATTTGTCGTGGGACCATCATGACTTTGTTTATAACCAGAGACTGATGCTTTTCTAGTCACATTTTGGGACATACCTGCACCCTCACTGGTTACATTTTTCCGTCCCGGAGGAGGGAGAGAGGAAGGGAAGAGCGATGGGTCTATGGGGAGAGGATGGCCAGTTAACAAAGCAATTGGGATGACCATTTGTGGGAGGAAGAGATTGGCCTTTACACCAGTGTTTTGCTCCTTCGTGTGAGGACATTCATTTTTCCAGACTGCAGGTCATTGTGAAGGCCATATCCCTTACAGACCAGGTTCTTAGGTGATATACGTTCAGTCTTCACATTGCCTCTGTATCTGGTCTGATCTAAGCTTCCACTTGCTGATTTGCTCACTCTTTGAGGGTCTTATTTCTTTCTCTGAACTGTAGTCAATAATGTGTATAATTTTGAAGTCTATCATTTTATTTTCTTGCCTCTGATGGGAGCTGGTGGCTTGCACCAATGAATGTGGCTGTGGAGAAGGAGACATCAAAACATTATGAGAATTTCCTAGTTCAAGGGAAAAAAAGCCCAAGCTCTGTGGAGGCCAAAACATCCTTCCCTTCCCCTTATTTCCAGGTTTATATGTTTGCAACCTGGACAGTATGGAAAACTCATTGCTAAGTCTCTGTTGTAAAGTTTAGCAACTGGAGATGATCATTGATGCTGAAATACAAGTGATCATGTAGAGAACAGCAGAAAGGGTATGCCACCAACAAAGAGAATCTGTCTGGAAAACATCAAGTAACGAGGGTGCTGGGACAGCAAAGCATCCGTTGTGTGAAATCCTCTCTTAGCTCACCGATACAGGCCGATTGGGTCGGTTGCTGATGAGTTTGTAGCCCTTATGAGCTGTGAGTCATCATAGCCAAGCTGAAATACTTACTCACATAATAACATGCAAATGAATGCAGAAGCAGGGATGAAATGAAATATTCTTGGTTGTAATATTTAGGAAATCAGTGATATCATTGGACAGTCCAGGATGGGCCTGAGAGGGCAGTGATGCTCTGAGAGGAGGGATAAGCACTCTGTGCAGGGCAAGGGACATGGCAAAGGTGGCCTGTTGCTTTTCCACCCTCTCTCTGCGTAGGGGTGCCACTGAGTGTTGACAGTGTGCATCCTTTTCATGTGAAAATGATGGAGAAGAGAAGCCCCAGGGGTCCGAGATTGAGTATGACTGCAGAAACTCCCCACAAACATCTTGCTTTCCTGCTTTTAGAGTGACACCTTGAAGCTGGCCAAGGAGCTGTCAGACACCGTTGTCTACTGCAAGAGTGTCCATTTCAATGGCTTTGAGGACCCCAGCCACCCTCGGGCTTTCTATGAAATGTCATCGTTCACAGAGAGCAAAGCTTTGAAACTAGCCCAGGAATCTGGTATGTATGTTCTGCCCTGGCAAAAGGCCATCCTCTGTCCCAGTCCCCCATAACGGGACAGCTAGTGGTGGTTAAGCACAAGGAAAAGGCATCCTGAAAGACGTGGGTTATGATCTCTTTGGTCGTGCATGTCACTGAGAAACACTGGGAATAACTTAATATTATAGAGACTGTTGACAAGAAGGTCATTTTATACAGGTTGTTCCCATTCAGCCAGACTTACTAGGCAGAGGAGCAGTATAAACAGCAGCATCAAGAAGAGATAAAAGTAGCCCTCATCATTGAAAGAGCTATTTTCTTTTTTTTTTTTTTTTTTTTTTTCTGTAGGAACCAGTTTTATTCGCCACAACGTCAGGCACCTGAGCCGGATCTACCCTGCAGGCTGGAGGACAGATTCTTCCAACTACAACCCCATCGACTTGTGGAACGTCGGCTGCCAGATCGGTGGGTGCAACTGGGAAGTCGGAGAGGATTAACCTGGTTGGGTTGCCTGTGACCTGGCTATGGAGGGGCTTCAGTTGAGGTAGATGTGTGATCTCAAGCCATTTGCAGGCAGAGAGGCTCAGTGGTCACTGGGAGAGATCAGCTCTTCAGCCAATGCTCAATGACTTTTCATAGACCGTTTTCTGGCCCACCTCAAAACCAAGGGCCTTTCCTGCACATTAATGTGCACATCCCTGCAATTTCACTGGAAGCAGAGTTATTGCCATTAACAAAGGAGGAAGGAGCCAGGAGTTACTGTCACTTACTGAAAACTGTGCTGAAATCTCTGGCAGAAATGTAAATGAAACTCAACTCTCTTGAACCCTAGATCAAGGCCATAACCATAAGGACCAGGCCATGGCCTGAGCTGTTCCCTGTAGTCAAAGCAGCACATCATACCTAATCCCAGAACACTGAGGCTCCTGATGGTATATTGATGTCTCAGGTTTGGTGAAAAGAGGGGTCCCAGAGCCTGTTAAGTGAATTACGTTGTAGCTCTTATCCAAGAAACCTGATGCAGTGTAAGTGGTCAAGCTGTAATGACATGCTTAGCTCTCTTGGTGATGCTGGATGTTGGGGATGTCCCAATTGTGTCTATGTGGCCCAGCCAGACAAGAGAAGCTGCAGATGCAAAGCTCCCTGGCCCCCAGCTGTGTAGACCTGCGCAAGATGAATGTGCCTGGCAGCATATGAACTCACTGGGTCCTGCAGCCCCCATGGGGGGCACAGGTAGCACCCACTGGTCTGTATCCCCAGCACTGAGTCTGGCCTTAGGACAGTCCCTGGGAGGCACCATCAGGTCCCTCAGGGTACACTAAAGCCAGACCTGCATGCATTATCTGACCTGAATTCAGCATTTGGGCACGCGAAATAAGATTTTTTCAGAAGCCCTGAGCATTTGCAGCTCCCAGTAAAACCAGTATATTAAAGTCATGCTTGCAAGTGGAAAAACAGTAGAATGCCTTTAAATGCTTTTGGCCTTCAAGTATTACAGGGTATGTAGGACCAGGATAAATTGCTATCTGTACTAGAGCTGTCTTAGAAGTTGCTAAAGAGGTTAGCATCACCCTTGAGAAATCAATAGAGTAGTAAGGAGGCGCTGGGGTCCATGTGCACTCCCTATGTGGTATTAGTGAGACTATTCACAGAGACTGCTTCCAGATTTGAGATTAATACTTTTAAAAAGATAGTGGCAAATTGGAAAGAATACGAGAAATCTGCCTGGTGTTAGGATACCAGTGATGCTTGATCTATTTTGTGCAGGAGACAATAACGAGATGATTTGATCACAGCTTCTGTACTCTTACATGAGGAGTTCAGACAGCAAGGAGCTCTCTAGTCTAACCAGAGGCATCAATGCCTCTCAGGATGGCAAATGAAAATAGGCATATCTGGGCTGGAAGGGAGGTTTTATAATGAGGCTAAGTAGCCAGAGAAACAATGTGAGAAGGATTTGCTGTCCTCACTGCAGGAGATAACTCCTTCAGCATAGAAATGAATAGGTTTATCTAAAAGATGCCGTTGCTCAACCAGGTGACATAAATTCAGTGCAGGAAACTTTCTGATCCTGTGGAAGGCAGGAGGACAAATGAGATGGCTGTAATGGCTCCTTCTGTCTCTAACATCTCTGAATGCAAGAAATCCTCAGGGGTAGCAGGCTGTGAGGGTCAGAGTTTATCACTGCTCTTTGAAGCATGAAAAAGCCAATGTTTGTGTCCATGAAGTGCAATTTAATGTGAACAGAATTAGTATAAAAAAATTTCCTATTGATTTATCTGAAAGCGACTGAATTTACTTATTTATATTGCAGTTGCCCTAAATTTCCAGACAGCAGGCACAGAAATGGATGTCTACCAGGGTCGGTTCCAGGACAATGGGTTTTCTGGGTATGTCTTAAAGCCGGAATTCCTCCGGGATGAGCAAACCAAATTCAATCCAAAATCCGTCACAGAAGGAACATGGGGGACAAAGAAGAAACTTCTGCTTAAAGTAAGAATAGAAGTCAGAAAATGTCTCAGTAACATCCACCTTGAGGGGGGGCATGCAGGTTGTACCTTCTCCTTCTCCTGGTCCCACCTGGGCAATGTTATCCTGACCCTACTTATTTCCCACCACTGGGGTCTCTGCTTTAGTTTTGCATGGGCTCTCATCGTCCAGGGACTTACATGTTTAATGTTTAGCAATATGAGAAGTTAATGACGATATTCACTGTCGTTACAGACATACAGGCAGACATGAAGTCAACAGTGACCACTGTTGTTTCCAAGTAACATCTGATCACTGTGGGACAGTTAGAAAAGTTGCCTGCCCCTTAGCCAGTTGGCTGGGCAGGAGCATTGTTGTGCTTTGGCTCCTGACAACTTCATCTGAAGGATGTCACAACACTGGCTCTGAAAGACCAGCACCAGCTTGTCACAGCAGATCGTGCACTCCTGGAAAGGAGAGGGAGGTGTGCCAGGGAGCCCTTGCTCCTAATGATGTCCTGACCTCTTCCTCTGTTTCCTCCACAGATCATCTCTGGTCAGCAGCTGCCCAAGGTGAACAAAAGCAAAAACTCCATTGTTGATCCTAAGGTAACAGTAGAGATCCATGGCGTCCAACAGGATAACAATAAGAAGCAGACCAAAGTCATTGAAAACAATGGTAAGGAGTTTTTTTCCCTGCTGTGCTCCCATGGGGCAGTAATCCTTTTGTTTTCTGTAACAGAGTGTTCCTTGCCAAGACTGCTGCCCTGTGGTCAGACCCGCTCAGGTGCACCCGGGCTTGCCTGCACTAAGCAGATATGTGAGGTGCTGTTGGCCTACTTCAGTGCAGAGACCTTGGTTATAGACTGCTGGTGGGATGAATTAGCCCCACAGATTGATGTCCCTAGGAAGAATTACTTTCAGGGGTTCTTTCCTCTCTTCTCTCTCTAAGATGTTTGGAGACAGATATTCCCTGCAAAACAGCATCAGCCATATGAGTTGTTTTGAGGCTGGCTGCCAAATTTGCAGAGATAGAGCTTTGGAAGTGGTCTTTACCTCCATGCAGTTGGACTTGACCTGGGATGCACATGTCCCCACCAAGATCTTCCCAGAGAAAGCTTCCTATGAGGCTGGTTTTATCCTGAAAGTGTCATAGACTCACAAAAGATTGAGGTTGCAAGGGACACCAGAGGTGTCTGTTCCAGTCTCTGCCCAAAGTAAGGCCATACTCAACTCAAGTTGCCCAGATGAACTTTGAATATCTCAAAAGATGGAGATTCCCCAGACTTTCTGGGCTCTCTCAAGTGATCCAGTCTTACGAGCATCATGAGAAAATAAAATATCTCTCTTCTTAACCAGAAATTCCCCTGTTGCAGTTTATGCCCATTATGTGTCAAGCTTTTGCTGTGCACCTGAGGAGAGCCTGGCTCTATCTTCTCTATAAAGAGGTAGTGGAGCATGGCAGTAATAATGTGCTTAGCCTTCTCCAGGTTGAATAGCTCGACCTCTCTCAGCCTCTTCTCATATGTAACATAGTCTGTGCAAAAGGAGAACATTTCCTCTAGCTCAGGGCCTCCTCACAAGGCAGGGACACTGCATCTGCTCATCTTCTTGGCCAAAGTGGCCCTGCTGCTAAATTAAGGCACATCACAGAAATGTTACAGGTGGAGGGGTGAAAGCCATAAGCCCCTGTCTCCAAAGATCTGGGCTCAAGCCCTACCCAGCACTGACCTCAGAGATCTCTCAGACATTTCACCTCCCCATGGACCATTTCTCTTTGGTCAAACACGGCTGTGATTTCCCTCCGTGCTGTGAGGGTCTGAATATTGTGGCCTTCTGGGTTTGCAGAGGGCAAGTTCAGCCCTCTCTCCTGTGGGAGTAAGGAGGCAGTAGGAGTCTGAGAAATCAGTCCTCACCCTCACACTGACAAACAAACAAACAAACACACACACACACACAGCTTTTCTGTGTGGAGTAAGAGCCAAGTGCTAGAAATCCAATGCATATTTTCTCCCCTGCTAACAGTGTTTCTCGTTTCCTCTTTCCTGTTTGAGTAAATCAGTCCTGGCTTCTAAAGCTCATGGCCATTTCTGTCACCTACAAGTTTTAGAATATCTTGAGTGGATGCTGTGTAGGGAATGTTTTAGACCTGCCAGGCCTGTTCAGGGCTCTGCAGCATACCCAGCCCCATGGTTAGCCCCTGGCTGGCTGGAGCGGTACTGGAGCGATACTGGAGGGATGCTGGAGGGATGCTGGAGGGATGCTGGAGGGATGCTGGAGGGATGCTGGAGGGAGTGTTGCCCAATGGAAAGCGAATCAAACAATGAAAACATCAGTTTTGGAAAGGGGCAGCTGCAGATCTTCAGGGTGGCATTTCATGACCATACTTCCGCAGTTCACCTGCTTTGATGTTTTATGGTTGAACTCAGTGATCTTAAGGGTCTTTTCCAACTTAAATGATTTTATGATTCTATGATTTGTGTTAGTGGGGCTGAAGCAGGGGCTGTGGCACAGATCAGGTCACAGTAGTGCAGTGGTGGAGCCCGAGAGGCTGTGGGAACCTGCTGTCTCAGCAGCTCCGGACATCTCCCTATGGCTCTGAGATGGGTTGAAAATCTCCCACAGGTGTCAGTACAGTGAAACCTACTGTCCTAGGGCCGATGACTTTCTCTCAGCTTTCACGATTTCTGTTCCCATGGGATCAGCAACACTGTTTTTCTTTCCCAAGAATGAAGGGGGTCAGGAGCAGATGTGTACAGTCTAGCTGATTTAATCCTATGAAAGTCCAAATAAAGTGCACCAACCCAGCACAGGTATTTTGCTATGGCACTGTCCACAGGCCCACCTCAGCACCTTCAGGGCCAGCTGAAAGATCCCTGCCTCCTGCCAAACCACCTACAGACCCTCCATGACCAGCAGGCTTGAGCCGATGTTTTGCTGTCCTTGGGCTTGCGCTCTGCACAGGCTGAGCTGGTGGCATCAGGGTTTCAAGCAGGACATCCTCACCTCTTCTTTGTTTGTGTGGAGTGGTTTATTGAAACTTCAGAGAGTGCCCACCATGACCTGGAAGAGACAGCACTGAGCTTGCTCTTCATCTCTCATCTGATGTGATGGTCTGGGTTTTCTTTGCTTTGTGAGTCTGCACGAGAGGAACCTTATCCATAACAGGAGTAGAGTTAGTCTGGTTGTCTCAGACACTACCCTTATACAGGGACACATAAAACATTTTTTCTACAGCCTTGGTGATGTTTTTTGTAATCAGACAGTCCTCATCAACCTTTCCTGTAGACAGGGAAACTGAGGCACGGAGTGATCACAGATGGATGTACCTTGAGCACTCAGTGAGGCTTAAGGCCCCAGAAACCTGCCACAACACAAAGGCACAGATCTCCTCTCTGCTCTCCCCTGGTTTAGGGCTCTAAAGTTTTGCAGATTGCCCAATGGCAACCAAAGACATCCATGTGTCAGCCAGCGGGAACCCGTGGAGCAGAGCTCAGTTTACCTCCCTCCTGCTCCTCTCTGCCTTCTGGGAGTGTGGTGCTGAGGCCTGCAGTGAGCAGCCTAAACTGAAGAATTTATTAATACCAGGTAGCAAATTAGTGTCAGAACTGGGAACACTGGTCTTGGAACCTCCTGAGACCTTTCACCTGGGCCAGATTAAATTGTCAGTCAGGCAAAGGCTCCATTCCTTTGCAAGCATTGCTAACCTCCATCCTTATCTGTCAACATCTCTGTCCTCCATCCTTGCTTGCGAGCGTCTCTCACCTCATTCTTTGTGAGCAGCTCTGACCTCCATCCTTGTCTATGTTGTCCAGGCTTTAACCCGAAATGGGATGAAGAGTTTACATTCGACATAGAGATCCCTGCACTTGCCCTGGTCCGGTTCGTGGTGGAGGACTTTGACATGTCAACCAAGAATGACTTCATCGGGCAGTACACCCTTCCCTTCACTAGTCTGAAGCAAGGTAAGGCTCTGCTTACAGAGGTTCCTCACAACCACTGAGCCCTCCGGGAAGCTTCAGTGTCCGAGATGAGTGCTCCAGATCCATCACGCCTCGGGTCAGAACGGATCCTCTCTCTGGGGTATGGACAAGATGATAAAGGTTTATTGGGCAGCTGTTAACACAGTCTCTGGGGAAGGGATCCCCTTGCCACCAGTGGTCTTGGGCATGATACGTTACCGATGCTCAGAGCTTTGCATCTCAAACCTACCTGTTCTGTGTGGTACTGGGAGCAAAACTCTCTGAGACAGGGAGATGTTTTTGAGGGGTCCTCGCAAATGTTAGCAAGTATTTTTCCAACTGGACTAAAGGCCACTTTCTATCTGTGTCTCTGCTGCCAGGTTACCGCCACATCCATCTTCTAACCAAGAATGGAGACCCGTACTCTTCCTCCACCCTCTTTGTGTACATCAATATCCAGGACTGTGATGAGTAGCCCAGCTCTTTCAGGGCACAGCGAACCTCGTTACAGACCTAGAAGGAATTCAGCATGCAAAGTCTGCCAATGTCAGGGTCCTGTCAAATCCCCAGTGCCTTCTCTAGAGCAGCACATGGTGCTCCACAGGACTCCTGGTGTGAAATAGCCATCAACCTTCTCCATTCTGCATGCTGGAAACATCCTAATGCTGCTGCTGAGATTAATCATTTTGTACCTGTTCGACCAATCCAGCTGTGTTTTTAGTTCACTTTGTTTTTTGATTTTGCTTTTAGCAAGAGGATAGAGACTCCTTTTTAGCAAAGTACAGCTCTCGGGTTGAGTTCAGACAGACATGTGGACAAAACACCCATCATCTGTGCAAGAAAAAATCCACCTCACCACTGAAATCAGTGGCCAGATACCAGGTGACTTCTTGCAACTTCAGATGCTAGCCATCTTTCACCATACGAAGTCTTAAATGGGGACACAGTTCTCTTTCTGTTACCGATTAAAAAAGAAAGCTGCACTACAAAGGCCCCTGTTATATAACTCAGCTTTCCTTTTGTATTATAATAAAAAATACATGAACACTACTCTGCTTGTGTGCCTGGCTCTCAGCCAGGTTGCTTTGCATTCAAAGCCCTGCTCTCGCCCTGTGAAGGAGAAAGAAGCTGCCGAAAGGCAGATTTCCCTCTAACTCAAAGTGAAACCCACTCAAAGGGACCTCAGAGAATGTCTTTTGCCGATGACAGTGGAAATATGCTCAACAGAGAGTAGGGCTTTTTTTTTAATGCAGTAAAATCTCCTTTGTTTGTGTTTTTATAGAAAAACATCATTTTTTAACACAGAGGAACTGGCAGTAGAAACTGTTGTAAATGTTAGCCTCGTCCCAGTTGCACTGTAGAGGTAACGTAGCACAAACAGACAAGAGTGTTTTGAACAGCAACCCTGTATTTATGGCAACAAGTGATTTTTCTTCAAGTACCGCTACAGAGTTAAGGGAATATTGTTGAAATAAAATAATATATATTTTGAAGTGCCAACTATGTTGCTAACAATGTTAGATGATTAAAAGTAAAAAAAAATGTGGCAAAGTCCAATTATTTGTCATTATTTGCTTTTCATTTGAATGCAGCACACATGAAGTTGGAGATAGACCTGCTTAATTTCTTAAAGCTATCAGTCTTTCTGGGGTTTTTCATGCCTGGCAGTGGAGAGGACGGGCTGCTACCAATGAGGTTAATGTCGCTTTAAACACATTCCTGTCCACTCACTCCCCCACCTATATTTTTTTTTTCAGTGGAAAATAGCCTGGATTTAGTGATCCTCGGGCGCTCTGCAAAACTGGGTTTCGTTTAGTCCTACCTGGAGTTAGTTATGGTGCAGTAATAATTGATGGACACATTGATTTTATTTTTTTTTTTCCCTCTACACTGCAATATTGTGTGATGTTGTAAACCATTGCCAGATTAAATGTGAATTATATCCACCACTCAAAGGGTCATATTAAATTAACAACCAGTGGTTAAAAGAGTACATGAGTGGCAGAGGCAGAACAGGGTATCCTGCAGTGACGTGGCCTCTCTCTCAGCTCACCTCTGGGATGGGGCATGTTGTATCAAGAGATGCATTTGAAGGCCAAGGCTGGAACATCCTTTACTCCAACTCAGGGACAGCCTGAGATTGGTCCCTGATCTCAGGACGCTCTAAGCATTTTGTTTTAAGGAGCCATGGGATAAAAGGCATGACTGAAGGGTACCCAGGACTGCCCTGTACTATGCAGGGAGCTTGCAGGCATGAGCCGTGGCTTTCCTGCCCCTTCACTCGTGTCAGCACCAGTTCTTGTGAGCGATCAGATCAGCCCACTGAGTTGTCTAAGCACAAGTTATTTGCATTTTTGGTATTACAGGGTTAGATTTCAGTTGGATTATTGAGCTAAGCCAGCCCTCACCTGCCTGCTGTGGCCAGCACTAGAGAAGTGGGGGACAGGGGGGTGTGGGAGCAGGACCACGCTCACCAGGGCCAGGGTGGTCTTAGATGAACTACACAGAAAGGCCAGGGTTTCCTCTGCCTGTTATGCCTTTAAATAAAGGTAGGCAAGGTCCGTGGGAGAGAACATCCCTCACCAGGTAGGTACAGTTGAGGGAAAACTACTGGAGCCAGGTGGGCCAGTAGCTGAGGTGGAGGTGGGATGGACCAGAGCATGATGGCAAATGCTGCAAGTTCTCCTCTTGCCCCAAAGGAAAGGACATAGTCCATGCCATTATTGAGGGACCCCACCTCTGAGCAGATTAGGAAATGCTGAGGAACCACTCTAGGGAAGAGCAGCAGAAACAGGACATGGCCCACCAGACACCACAGCAAAAGCGGCAAGTGTCATGAAAGGGAGAGCGTGGGTGATAATCTTTAGAAATCAGAGGCAGAAAGTAAAACCAACTTTCCCCGTGAGAAGAGCAGCAGCAGTTTCCAACAGGCTCAGATATTGGGAGGATCTATTATCTGTACAATCCCATGCTGGTTTCCGAGTCCTGGCAGGAGCGCTCCACTCGTGTGTTGGTGAGCATTGTGGCAGCAGGAATTAAAGCACTTTGTAGCAAACTGGTCTAATCTCCCTAATCCGACTACATTTCTGCTGGTCCCCATTTGATTGTGTGATGCTCGTTAGGCCCACAGTCAGGGCTGATAGGTGGCATTGCTGGATTTTATTGAGGAGCATGTGCAATTCGTTAATTTGGGGGCTGGCAGCAGCATGCCGCAGCAGGGCGATGCAAATATTGTTGCTTCCAGCAGTGGCAATAGAGGCTGAAACAGGGATAATGTGCACTGATTGTATCTAGTGTGAACACAACAGGAGCAATCATGCAGGTAATTTGTCTGATTTGTGTCTCTGCTTGACTCTTACTTTATTCTGCACAGGATATTTCAATGGGTTTTGGGCTGGACCCTCAAGCAGAAATGGGATGAAATAGTGACAAGAGAACAGAGGTAATGATGGAGGTTGTGGCTTATTTGAAGTAATTACTAATTCTTAAACGTAAAGATCTGTCCAGAAGACCCCATTGCCTGGCAGTCCCTGCTTCCAGCCCAGCCAGATGGTGACACTTCACCACTACTGCATGGTCCCAGGTGTCATGTGAGAGCTCTTCACTCCTCAACCATCAACTTCCTTCATCTCCTCAGCTCCATCCCCACAACCCTACAGCCGGGGTGGGCAGTCAGGCCAACTGCTGAATGGCCAAGTACCCACCATGGGCAATGGGGGGGGTTCAGGAGTACATGGGCACGGGGAGACAAATGGTCCTGCCTATGTGGTATTTGGGAAGAGAGGGGGGCCCACCTTCTCATACTGTTCTTTTCAAAAAAACCCCAAGTCCCATTGAAGACCAGGTGTTTGAAGGACCTGGTAACCCTGCAGAGCTTTTCTCTGCTGCTGTCCTACCCCACACGCTGATCAAGGACACTCACAGTGCTTCTGCTGGCTGTTTATTTGGAATCACCGATCAGGCTGCAAATGGAGTAAAGCTGCAAAACAACATCTTCTGAGTTTTTAAACATATATGTTCCTTCCTTTAGTTTACGGTAGTATCCCTTAATCACTGATCATTCACATTTCTCCCTGCCCTCCCCAGTCAGACTGAGATCTCAGTGTGGAATGAGTGCTCTCAGCCCCACGGATGTCATAGGGATGGAGCCCTAATAAAACCTTCAGTAGGACACACTCTGCCTCAGGTCATACCCCAAAACCTCCCAGCTTCCTCAAGCCTTTGATCTGTAGGCAGGTGGACTCTTATGTTCACCAAGTTGTGCTAAGGGAAGCCGGGTGAGATCAGAGATCCTGTCTGAATGACAAAAAAATAGACATTGTCTGGCAGTCAAAATCAACAGCTGCGTCTAGCCCTTAGTCTCATCATCCTCTTGAAACAGATCAGCTAATAAATATGTTCTTAGTAAGTGGTTTTCTTTCCAAGCCAGGTTCTCATTTGTTTAATTTGCACTGGGCTATGCATGTTAGTCTACAACTGATTTTTGCTGTTCCTTGGTGAGTAGATTTTCTGCAAGGTGAGAAGGGACAGAACTGGCTGGTGTCTCTCCATGGGCTACCCCATCACACATCTGGCTACTCCATTACCTTTTTCCCGAACTCCAGGCTCCCCCTCTGCACTTCTAGTGCTTCCCCCTCCTCTCCCCACTCAGAATTTACACAGAAGCTGCAAGTGGCCTTTGTCTTGCCTAATTTTAAACTTCTACAAATGAAGAAAGATCATGACCTTGTACACATGGCAATTTGAGAAAGGGAGAGAAAAGAAGAGGCTACAATATAGTTGTGTGACACACACTTGTCTTCATGGCTATCAGCAATAAAGTGTCAAAAAGAGGCAAAAACATCTTGCAAAATTATTCCTGCAGAAGGAATGTTCCTGTCTCCTTAGGTTCGGGGTTTGCAAGGAGAAAGGAGCTGTCACCTGAACAGTGGCTGCTGGAATAAGTGCATTGGAGCTTGGCCTGATGGAGGTGTTGGGTTGGGTTCGTTGAGAAAATGTCTGTACTTCTTCCCTGCAGCTCCTAAGACAGTGAGGGTTGGTCCCAGAGTCACCGGACACCGGATAGCCCCTGCGGTCTCAGAAGAGTCCACATTGTTTCTTCTCGTTCTGCTGCTTCCATTTGGGCATCTGGTAGAACTCGTCCTTGGACTTCCCGAAGATATCGTGGAATTCAGCATCAGAGAGGTAATACTGCAGTGGGAGGAGAGAGTAAGGAAAGGTCAGCTTTGGTTTTTGCAGAGGCTGGGACACCTCCATTGCCTGTGCCCCTTCCTCACTGTTCCAGTGCTGACCCTTGACTCCAGGCCAACAGCTCCTGTCCTGCTACCTGTCCTCGTGGTGGGAAGCAGAATGTCCCAGAAACCGTTCCTTATCTTGCTTCCCAAAGCACCAGGAGAATAAAAGCCACTAGCCCAAAGGAATGCCCTGTTTTTGAGGGGTTAACATGCTCTGGCTGGAATTTGGTCCCTGCTAATCATTCTGAGGCCAGAACAATTAATGGTACATTGGAGAAGTTCTGCTGGCCAAAGTTTTCAGGGGTTTATTAGGTAGGGATTCACAATGAAAGCATCTTCCCCTCGCTCATTTCCCCCCCAAATATTCCACTGGAAATATTGACTCCTGTTACTGGAAAGGCAGAAAGTTTTGTAGATAGTGGGCTCCTCAATGATACTGAGAAAGACCTTGTGGGAAATGGAGGTTGAGTTTTCCCTGGCATTTTGGGTAGAAGAATGCACTCATACAGCCCAGCAGAAATACAACCATTAGCACACGGGCATTGCTGTGGGACAGAGCTGCTGGCCCAGCTGTGAATCAGCTCTCTGCCTGTGGGTATTGGCGTTTGCCAGGAGACCTGCTGGGACAAGACATTGGTCAAACATGGGTTGTAGGGAGGGAATCAGCCCCCTGTGATCCTCCCATTGGCTTGCTTGGCCTCAGCTACAGTTATTGACAAAATCCTTGGGCTAATCAGAAACCTGAGATGTGGCATTCCTCCCTGTCCCTGTCTGGGATTTGCTGAAATGCAAGCTTTCTGACAAAAAAAAAAAAAA